TAAGAAAAAATAAAATAATGATGGGGTATTTATAGTTGAAAATAGGAAAAAAGTGTAATTATAAAAAGTTTGGGATTAAAACAAAGTTGGGGGGTTAAATGGCTATGGCTATTTTTTTTTTTTTTTTTTTTTAAAAAAACGGTTGGGCCTGCTAGGCCCGCTAAGGGACCGGTTCGGTCCCCGGCCTACGGGCCCAAATCATAGGACCGACACACGAGATCGGACCAGGCCCGCTAAAACCGGACCAAACGGTCTTGGCCCGTTTAGCTGTTTGGCCCGCTGTCCCGGTCCCGGGCCTGGACCGGCCCACTTGCCCGCCTTACTCGTAGGCATTTTATTAAGAATGTAGGGTTATCTGTGTTTTATTACTAAGACAAGGAAAAATGTTCTCTGATAATGTTATGCTTCTGTTATGTTTGACGGTGAAGCTTTTATTAGAGTAACTTGGTGTTTAGAGTATCTAATAGGTACAGTTGAAGTAGATAAAGTGGCCAACTTTAGCGAGATGTCTATAAAGGGCAGTCTGGCACCGTGCACAAGGTTTTTCGCGTTCACGTAGAGTCTGGAAAGAAAGCATTAATAGTTGCTTCTACGGCTCGAACCCGGGACCTAAAGGTCACACGGAGACAACTTTACCGTTGTTCCAACTTCCAAGATAACTTTGGGATATGTTTATACTTTGCTTAATTTTTTATTTTAATCACAAGTCATGATGTACATGCGATGGTGTGATAAAAAAGCTGCTGCTGAGTGTAGCCTGTATAATAAAATTCGAATACCTTACCTGTTAAAATGAGATATTTACTCTGTTTAAGCCGAAAATTTAAAAAATAATTGATGATATTATTTCTCTTTAGAAAAAAGGCATAGCTTGTTACATATAAAGAAAGATGCAACACAATTCTTTCTTATCTAATTCATCAGGATAAGAAAATATAAGAGCTGAATCGTAGATGGAAAAATCCTACGATAATTTTACTTTTCAAATGTTATACACTTTTCGTTTCATTTTACATGTCACTATTTTGACTAGACAAAATATGGAATAGGTACGATTTTTTTTTCTTGCTTTTTCTTTATGTTCCTCTCAATCTACTTCTGCAACTTTCTTTTTTTGTACTTTATGTGTAAATAAATGTTTAATGATCTATTTGGTCCTTTTTTAAAAAAATTGTAATTACATTAGGGCAGCTTTTCTAGTTTGTTTATGAGCAAAAGAAGAAAAAAGTGTGATGATTTTTCTTGCTTTAGAGCTTCAAATTTTCCAAGCAAGAACAAATTGGATCAAGAATATAAAACTAAGCTAATATTTTTCGACCTTTTAATGACTTTGTTTTGTTAAACGTAGCTATCCCTAATCCACAATGCAGAGGAAAGTGATCTTAAACATACAATGTTTTGTTGGACTGTATATTTTTTGACACATAAGTTCCACAATAATTTGCTAACTGCTGCTTTATTCTAAGTAGCTATGTCCAGGATGTTAAGTCCCCCAGCAGATCTAGGGTAGCATACTTTGTCCCAGGCTAATATTGTTTTTTTTTTCAAGTCCACCCCTCAGTCCAAAGAAATCTTCTACATGTAGCTTCAATGAGTTTAATAACTTTCTTAGGCAGCACAAAAATTTGAGCCCAAAAAGTTTGGATGGAAAATAACACCGATTTGATCAATTGAACTCTCCCGGCATATGATAAGAATTTTGTTGTCCATGAGTTGATTCTTCCCAGCATCTTCTCTATAAGAGGTTGACATTGGATCACTGATACCCTTTTAGTGCTCAGAGGAACTCCCGGGTATCTGATGGGGAATTCACCATATGAGAAACCTAACACCTTCAATATCTCATGTTTCACCTACTGAGTGACCCCTCCCAGATAGACACAACTTTTGTTTTGATTAGCTATCAGCCCTGACGCTTGAGAGAAACTTAGAAAGCAGTCATATAACGTAGTAGCAGAGATGATATCTCCCTTGCAAAAGAGAAGTAAGTCGTCCGCAAACCTCAGCTGAATTAGTTGTAACTTAGCACATTTTGGATGGAAATTAAAGTTTGGATTCTTTCCTAGCTCTTTTAACAATCTGTTGAGGTACTCCATTACTAGTACGAACAGAAAGGGAGATAATGGACCCCTATCTTAACCCCTTCTTTGCTTCAAAAGGCTTTATTGGATTCTCATTTATCACTATTGCGTAGGATACCGTCTTAACACAAGACATAATCCAAACCACAAAAGTAGAAGGAAAGTTAAGGCTCACCAACACCTGTTCCAGGAAAGGCCATTCAACAGAGTCGTAAGCCTTTTGTATGTCTATCTTCAGCATGCACCTAGGAGAGATGTCTTTCTTACCATAACCCTTGACCAACTCATGGCTCAATAGGATATTATCAGATATCAGTCTCCTTGGAACAAAAGCTGCTTGACCACTATCTACCAGACTATTAATTACTCTTTGCAATCTTTTGGTTAACACTTTAGATATTAACTTGTAAAGCATTGTACAACATGAAATAGGTCTATACTCTTTCACGGATGAAGGGTGTTGTACTTTAGGAATGAGGGTGAGTGTGGTGCAATTAATTGCTTTATACATATTGGATGAAGCAAAGAAGTGCATTATTGCTGCAGTCACTTCCTCCCCAATCACCGGCCATACTTTTTTGAAGAAACATGCATTGAAACCATCACAGCCTGGAGCCTTTAAATCGTCTATTTCCTTCGGAGCTAGATCCATTTCTTTGGTTGCTCTGATGGTAAGCACCCTCCACTTCCAACCAAGAGGTTTTGAGTTCGAGTCACCTTAAGAGCAAGTTGGGGAGTTCTTGGAGGGAAGGATGCCGAGGGTCTATTAGAAACAGCCTCTCTACCCCAGGGTAGGGGTAAGGTCTACGTACACACTACCCTAAGGTCTACGTACACACTACCCTCCCAATACCCCACTAGTAGGATTATACTGGGTTGTTGTTGTTGTTGTTGTTGTTGCTAGAGCCACTTCTTCTTTAGAAACAGGGGTTGTCAGTTCAAATTGTTGATCTCTATTTAAGATAGGACCTCCCTTCCTAACATTGGGCTGAATAGCAGGTATCTGAGCTCCCTAACTTATACTACATAGAAATTACACAAGGCAGCAATTACAGTTTTTTCGTTTAATTTTTGGGACATAAATGTCCTGAAATTAAGAATTTTAGTTCAAATTTTCAAAATAAAAATAAGTACTGGTTAATCCTTAAATAGTAGCCCTAAGAATGACTATTTGTGCACCTGCCCCTTGTACCACTATAGGAGCACAAAGATCCGCAAATATTTTTAGCTTTGAATAAACTAATACTAGAACTTATGATTCTGGAGCTTATTATGAATTTGTCGCCTTGGTTTTTCCAAAACTTTGACCCTTCAAATAAAAAATGACCAGAAATTTATTTTCTTTCGGAAATAAGTTCAGTTGGATTTAAAGATTGCCCATATAATCTATTTATTTGGCAAAATAAGACTTTGCTACCTAGGCTTTTGGTAATATTAGTCTTTGTTTCGTGGGTGTAATTTTTTTGAAAGGATTTATATAAGGAAATTTTATTAAAATCCTAAATATTAGACTTCTTACACAACTCAAATAAGAAAATATTTAATAACTATAATTTTAATTAATCTAAAAGTCCTAATATTGAAAAACTTATATTGTACTAAGGGTTGTAAACTCAAGGAAGTGGGTCAATTGGACACTTTATAATTTGAATAGAAGAAATAATCCTGCAAAGATTTTTTGTATTTTATTTATAAATCACTTGTAACTCTTATGCGAGTTATAATACGAGTTCACGTGTGACCCGCCAACATTTGTTT